AGATTGTTTCAAGAAATTAAGTGGATGCCTGTTAATGTGTTTGATACAGCCCAAGATATAACATTAAAATAAAATTCTTTATAATTCAGAATGTTCATTCTAAAACTAGACTCTAGCACAGCTAGAAATATTGTGACAGTGCTCTTGACATCTTATTTTCAGGCTTTTTCCAGCTAAGTGAGATTCACTTAGTGTGATTTACTACACGTAATTCCTGAAAATGAGAGGGAGATGTTAATCCAGTGAGCTGTCTATTTTCCACGTCATTATCACGGTGTCTGCAGAGAGGGGAAGTGCAGGCTCCTTTATTGTGGTTATAGAATGACAACACAGAAACTCAGAGGTGGTCCATAAACAAATCCATATGTAATGGCTGAAGTGATAGAAGTTGACTCATTTGGTACTTTTAAAACTAGTAGACAAAATCCAAAACAGTTTTGTATAATCTTATATCAAGAGGGGGGGCTTAGGCAAGATGTGACTTAATGAGGGATGACAAGGAAGAATGAGGAGTGTGTTTTTCCTGGTTTTCAGGTGGGGGAAAACTTATTTTTACTTATTTACCTCTAGGATAATTTAGGTTGGAAGGCACTAATATATTGCTCTCTGCCAAAATACACGTTAATAGACTGTAAGTAGATTACTTCAGTGTGGATGAATAATTAATACCTGGAATTGGCTTACATAATTTCACTTTTTCAGATGTGCAGAGGTCAGGTTTAATTTGAATCCCCGAGATGTGCACTTAGGCACATAAGTGAGCTCTTAAAAGTCAAAAATAAGCTTTTTGGTTTTTATTACACTAAAACCTTTCTCTAAGAAGACAACACACACACATTCAATGACAAAGGAAGAATGTAAGCCAAGAAAAAGCATAGTTGGAGAGAAGCTTTCTAGCTTTGTTCCATGTCCTCTTGGGAATTGCTCCCACGATTCCTTGTGTCCATAAGGGTGAGTCCTACATATGAAACAGCAGCAATGCCCTTTTTAAAGTGTATCCTACAATGGCTGTAAACTTTTTAAAATTGGGCTATATCTAAATCCAACCTGACAGATGATTAAATCTGATCATACTGCAGGATTTTGCTATAAATTCTAGGATGAATTCTAGAAATGAAGTCGCATAATCTTTGCTAATAAGCTGTTTTTAATGTCTGTAATTGTGGCTTGCAAGCAAATAATCAGAAGGCTATTACACACTCGGTTGTTTTCAGGTCACTGAATTCTCAGGGAAGTAGAAAAACTTAATGTAGACTTTACATTCTGTCAGTCCCTAACACAGCCACAGGCTGCAAGTCCCTCCTAACATCAGTTCTTCATTTCACAAGTAGGAAGAGAAAACCTGCAGTGTCTTGTGTGGAAGAGATGTCCTGTTTCATGAGTATGTCCACATGAGCTGTGCCCTGTGGAATAGATTGTCATTATTTGACAATAACATATTCTAAATACAGGTCAAGAGAGTTGCTGGGGCAGGCTGGCAGCCCAGATCTGGGTCCCATTCCTGGTCTGAGGTTTGTATCCTGCTCTCACTTTTTTTGTTGTTTTTAGGTTTTTTTTTACTAAGAACTGTTCATGAATAATACTGAGTGTACCGTGTGTGTGTGACAGCACACAGCTATACCTACTGATGATAATGAGTCTAAGTGGCTTATATTCAGTAAAATTCAATGTATTCAGTTCTCTTTCCCAATTAATGTTTCACTTTTGGAGCGTGAAATTTGTTTTTCACGGCCAAGGGTGTGAATTCCCTACATTATTTTGCCAAACACCTTTGGATTTTCTAGTCAATATTCTCTCAGTATGTAGCCTACACTGTTTCTGAAGTTGGCCTAAAGTCACACCAGCTAACTACATTTGCTTTAGGTTGCTGCATTTGGTTTCCAGAGCCCAGCCCAAGTTCCTTTCGAGTCGGTAGGATTTTTGTGTTGGCTTTTGCAGTACTTGGATCATATCCATAGTGTCTAATTCCTCCTCTTGCTTCTCCTCCCCTCCTGAAATACCCCGTAAGAAAGTTATAATCTGAAGAGTAACAGTATTGGGCCAGATTGTCAGTTCCTATAAAACTGAATAGATTTTTTTTTTCAAGTCAGTAAAACTCTGCTCATTTAGATGAGCTTAATATCTTTACATACAGCCTAATATCACTCTAATAAGCCATCAAACCCTCTAAACTTATTCATGTGACAACCATAACCCGTCAGACTATATTTTACTTTGTCCTATATTTTACAAAGTCCTATGCAGTGACACCTGACTTTTATCAACTCTTTTCCTTGTTATCTCTGGATACAGCCCTGATGCCCACCAAAACAATCTGTCTCCCTCTGTGATGCTGTTACCTGGTCATCTGTTTTCTCATATGTTTGCTTCACCATAGATTCAACTTAAAGACAGATTCTACAGAGAAGAGCTTCAGACACAACTGAAATAGTGAGATTTATGGCAATCATAAGCATATGTTGGATTTTATTTTTAGAAAGGATTTTTTTAGTTTCAGTTGGCTGGAGAATGGTGGGGAAATACATGTATGTCATGAATGTATTTACATTGATACTGACTGATAAAATTTATTATTGCAGAATCCAACTTCTTATTTCTCAGAGATCTCATGCAATTGAAAGGGTGAATTGGGTGGATCATAAAATCTCAAAAGTTTCATCTTCACCTGAAGTATGTTGGGGAGGAAACTGCTTTTTCAGTTAGAAAGTAGAGCAAGTTATTTTATTTTTTTTTCTTGGTAAGAAATCCTTTATACTTCTGTGAACCTGGAGCAATTATGAAGCTAGCAGAATTATTTTGGATTCATGCTGATGTTACTAACATCAAAATGTGACCATTGGAGTAAAATGGTGCATTTGTGGACCCAGCACAGCATGAACAATTGCTATATTTAGGATGTAGGAAAACCCAGTCTGTAGAAAGCAAGTACTGAATGAATTCTACAATAGTATAATAATACAAAGCAGAAGGAACAAAGAGGGGAAAGATAAAAGATGTATGTTTGACCTGAGCATCAGGAAATAGCATAGTTTATCAGCACAATAGTCCCTAAGGGAAACTGAACCAAATATACTTTTTGCTAAGTTTCCATCTTAATCAAAAGTCCAGGTACTAACTGCTCTTGGAAGGTGAACCCCCCTGTGAGAATATATGGAAGCTGAAATGCAGGCACATTCAACCCCTTCCCACAGCATCATCCCATATTGTAGTGCACAGGTTGGACTTAAATTGTTTTGATGTGCAAAGTTTTTGGGGACAGTTCTCAAATGGGTTTTTTTTCAGGCATTCAAAGAGAAGAGAGTTGCTAAATAAAATTCTGCAAACTATTTTCTCAAAGCTCTGTCACCATTTGAACTGCAGTTTTCAAACTGGACGTAAAAACCATCTGCTGCTTTCATGATCTGTTGTCCAGGCTAAAGGCACGATTCAAATCTCACACCCTTGGTCAGGGTTCAAAACAAAGTCCTGAAACTAGAATACAGAGCTTGAGAGGAAAAGGTGTGATGGGCAAAGATGTGAGTGTGATTCTGCTTTCCCACCAGTGTAAATCTGGAGTAAAATCTCACCTGTGTAGAGCTGTTGTAAAGGCTGATGCTCACACAACACCAAGCAGCAGCAGAGACTCAGTAGCTGGGAGTTATTAACTCACCTAAGAGTGCTTGAGCATCTCCTTGGGATGGACCAGAAGTAACTTTATTTTCCAGTATCCATAAAACTGAATCAACTTCCCACAGCGGTTTCAGGTAAAAACCAAAATGCAGAAGGAAGAATTTCCTTGTATAAAAATGCTTTAAGTTAAAACTGTCAAATGAGATTTCATCTGCAGCTGCTTATTGAAATGAAGAGTTCCATTCCTTATAAACTTACCCTGATTTTTAAACTTTACTGTCATGCTTTGTTCATTCTAGGTGAACGTGTCTCCTTATGTCACAGAATGCAAATAACATATTTTTAGGTTGAGGTCCAGTTTGTTGGTTGGAGTTTCTTTCAAGAATGAAATTTTTGCCTTTTATTATGTGTGATTTTGTTTAATTGAGAATGTTTCTTGTTCTGTTGTCTATGCTGTGTGTACTAATTTGAATTGTCCTATGTTACAAAAGGTTTATGTGCCACGTAAGTCTCAACTGCAAATCCTGGCAGACCTCGAGGGCGTTTTGGGGCATGTTAGAAGACATCACCATATAGACATCACCGTAAATCCAAAATCAAACACCCAGACTAGGTTAAACATCTTCTAGAATGCCTTTTGCAGGACCAATTTTTAACTTCTGGTGCTATGGCTAAATGTTCAGCATTTCATGAAATGTCCTAATCAAAGGATTTTTCAGTGTGGGATTTAGGATGTGGCTTCTACAGAATGTGCTGCTTTATGATGCCTCACTGGTATTTATTTGACTGTTTTACATTATCAGAATGTATTGTCAGCAAGACTAAATTGTTAAAATTATTGGTACTTCATTTGATTAAATTTTTTTTCATATTTTTAGAGATAGAGGAGGTTGTTTTGGTTCCTTGCCCCTCACTACTCCTTTAGATAGATCCTTATCCTATAAAGAAAAGCCAGTTTCAAGACATATAAAATGGTGTCTTTACTAACATATTTTCAAAAAAATTAATCTGAAAATATTCACGTTGCCTGACATATTTCCACATGAAGAACAGGATCACTCCATGCTACACGACTAGAAAAACACATCGCATTCATTTACATAAAACATGAAAATCTTTAGTTTAAAATACCGGCTCATTTTCTTACTTTTTTTTTTTTTTTAATTTACTTTTAGAATGCAAATAAAAACCACTACTGTTTCTTTTCCTTTCCTTTTATTGCAAAGCAGACTACTAACATATGTTCTTGACTGTCATTTAAAGCAAGCGCAGCTTTTTCCAGCAGAAAAAAATTAACCAAACAACCAAAAACGTGATTTCCCACTGAACGGTTGCCTCTCAAGAGTTGTTCTGTTTTGTTTTTTCTGTTTTTCCTGCCTACGTAATTTCAGATGCTGCACAACAAACACGTGATGGTTCGTGTTGGAGGAGGCTGGGAGACTTTTGCAGGTTACTTACTGAAGCACGACCCCTGCCGAATGCTGCAGATCTCCCGAGTGGACGGCAAAACTTCTCCCATCCAGAGCAAGTCTCCGACCCTCAGGGACATGAATCCAGACAACTACCTGGTTGTTTCTGCCCATTACAAAACCAAGAAGGAGATTAAGTGAAATAAGCTTCTCATGTGTGAGTGGAACTCTATGTACGTAGGTCCAAACTATTTTCTCAAGTGTAGCGAATTTAGTTTATGCTTTTAAAAGGACTTGGGGAAATTTCAGACAGACTGGAAATGGCAACCCATTTTGAAGATCTCTTGAATTGTAGAACTATTTATTTCTAGTACTGTATCTTTTATAGCAAATTACCCTTGATAGGCTAATTACTACAATCAGATAATAAATAGACATATATTTTTAGCCTAATTATTACTCTTTAATACGTGAATGTATACTTAGAGCTACATAAAGGAGTGGATCCTGTTAATGGAAGAAAATACACAATACACTTGTATGAAAATCTTATTACTTTGAATCCTTGACTGTTAGGCTAGTTGAAAAATATATATGCAGGTGGAAAATGAATATTTGTGGAAATTATTTGGTAATGCCTCTTGAAATGAAATAAAAAGTGACTATTTTTATGGTTTGCAACCGTTTTTTAATCAGTAGAATATAACGGCTTATTGCATGCCAAACGACTTCCTAAAGCCATTACTTTAAAAAAAAAAGAGAACAAAAAAGCCCAAGAAACCCCACCCCCACCACCTTTTTACTCTTTAAAGCAGAAGAGGATGCTGTGTTAGAACTGTGTGTAGATCCTTCCTGTCCCTCCAGAGCCACAGAACACTGCACTGCTCTTGGACATGAGCTTTTCCCTCCCCTTCTTTTTAGTTTTGCTGGTCATGCCAAATGTGAAATATTCGTCAGTAGAGTGATTCACATTCTCATAAATCATTCACACACCTCTAAAGGCATATGTGGGCTTAGTTCATTATTTTGGCTACTTTTCTATGTTTATATTTGGTAATTTATGTGCCTTTTAATGTCCTAGAAAAATAATTTTGTAGGATTATTTCACTGACTGTATAAATTTACAAATGAAATAAATTTTTTTAAAATACTCATACATTTTGAAAGTCTTATTTATTTGTAATCTGTCATCCTCCCTTTGCTTCCTACTGACCAGATGCTTACAACATACAATACTGCTTGCTGCCCTAATAATGAGCTACACAAAGAAAGGGGCAAGCAGATAGCACAGAAATACCCAAATTTTATTGAAAATTAATTTTCCTTTGCAGGGAAACAAAACATTCAAAACTATCCTTGGAATATATTTTATTAGTACTGAGTGGTGTTTTTCTCTATTTTCCAGTGTTTAATTTTAAAACATGCATCTTATGATCTGCTCCTGTGGTCTTTAAAATTAACAGCAGAATGTCTGCAGGCTAGAATCAAGACTGTCTTTCATGTTCCATGCCTTATTAAAATCAGCATGTTGTATCTCACTCCTGTGGAACAGGCACAGTTCACCACCTAGAAATACCTGCTAAATACAAACAGTTCACAACTGCTTGGTGCAGCAGGGCATAATTCCAAACAGGTATTCAGAAAGAAAAGACACAGCCTTTTATTCTTATTTTGAGACACTTTTTAGGAAGATTAAACATATGTCCAAGCAATAAATCCTTTGAAAAGCCCATAGGAAGACCCAGTTGTCATAGAAGCAAGTCATGCCCCTTTTTCTGCTCCCTTATGGCAGCAGAACACAGACCACAAGCAACATCACTTTTTTTAAAAAAAGCAGCGCAGCTGAAAAATGTCAGGATCTTAATATAAGCACTGAGAGATCTGTTTTCAAATGAACAGAGGGGGAAAAAAAATCACTCCTGAAAGTGTGAGATGTTTATTTTGAAATAATTAGTTGGATTTCACAGAATCGTAGAATTGTTAAGGTTTCAAAAGACCTCCAGGATCATCAGGTCTAACCTTCGTCCAAGACTAAGTTTGCATTGCTATTATGTTGGGGTTTTTTAAATATTTGAAGGGGTTTACACATTAATAAATCAAGAGCAGATAATTATAAGAAAGGTATTCCTAGTTTTATCCAAACCAAGATTTTAAACTAAACATGAACTGCTTTACATGCTTGGACTGTAGCTATCAAAATAGTCTTTTTTGATTCAGGGTACTCAAAAATCTTTTTTTAAAAAAATCGTCTCATTAAAACAAGTCCTGGTTTAAAACTTCAACTTTGCCAGTTCCAGAATGGAAATTTATATGGATCTAGAAGGTATTTAAGTACCGCCACTACCACCTAATCTGTGTAAAAAAGGTAGGACTTACTGCATTTGACTGCACTGGTGTGGGTGTGGATAACAGAGGAGGAAATTAAAGCAGGAACATCCATAAGGCAAACAAAATTTTAAAAATGCAGTAAGCTGGTTAGCACTGGAAGAAGGGGTTGGAGTTAAGTGTTGCTGATCTGATAAATGGAATTTTCTTAGTGTATTAGGCCCTGTAGCAGTGTAGGAATTGGGAAGTTTGTCAGGAGCCTGAGGCTCTATTTCTGAAGCCAAAGCTGAGCAGCAAAATCTTGCTCAAAGAGGTACAGCCCTTGTTGCAATGATGGGGGCAGAGCAGCTTAGATCATTTTCCATGATGAATGCTATGTAATGATCTTAGCTAACTCTACAGCCCTGTAACATGCCTGAATTTCAGTGTTGAGGGGGTTGGAAGTCAAAGCCTCTTCTCAAAGGCCTTGTAGACCAAACCTCATGGGAACTCCAGCTGGCTGTGAATAAACTGTGCTAAACCTCGAGACAGATAAATTATGGGAGATTACTTGTGAAACACATTATTATTGTATAATGTCAAATATGCCTCACCATGCTGGAAGGCATTCAGAATTAGTCTGGAAACGTAACTAACATCTGTTATTGCTTGTTTTAGGAAGTAGCTTCTGTCACCTTGCTGTTCATGCGTTACCTGGAGGTTTTCTTCCAAGCAGGATTATTTACATCACTGATTGAGGATAGTTTTTTTTCATACCTGTATTATAGTGATAATTGCTTGTTCCTTTGCATTACCACCTTTTTTCTAACAGCAATTTAAAGAAGATATGTGAAATCCATGGTAGCTAGCTCCAAGGGCTGCTGGTGGGGCTGAGAGAAATGAAGAGGCAGTATGTGTGTGGGAAGGTACAGCAAGCTCCTTGTAACTGAAGACCCAACACTGAATTCATTACACATGTTCACTTTAGATCTGGAAGATGAGCTGTTTGCCACACTACAACATTACAGATGCATCTGCTGGAAATGCTGACAAGGGTTTGGTTCTTTTTGGGCTTACACTTTGTACTGCTCCATTGGCTGCTGTCCTGCAGTACCTAACAGGTACAGTGCTGCTTCTTTGCTCTCCTACTTTCTTAGCCTGTGGTGTTATCTAAAATAAGGTGGAACAAACAGGTGGGATCATGCAAATGTTTATGGGGCTGGACAGGTTTGCCCAGACTCTGGAAAAACTGCTGGCACCACTCGTGCCTGATGAGCTGTGTCCCAGGAATTCAGTCTGTCACTGCCAAATCCACATGCTGAAGTCACCTGTGATCCTCAGGGGCCACTGTGGTGCCACCCACCCTTGTGGAGACACAGCTTCTGTGTCTTCCCAAACTTCAGGATGTTCTGCTCTGAACACTCTGTCTCTGGCATAATCAGTGTATTTTAACAATATGCAGCAGCAGATGGTTTCACTTGCTGTTACTGCAACAAAGACAATGCTATCACAGTCATGGAGAGTCAGCCTTTCATTCCAGCTTACCAGCACTGGGCTTTGCCTGCCAGGAGTTTTTGAAGTGATCTGCGAGACGATGCTTTCAGAAGATGAAGAAGAAAAAAAAAGGCACAGTCGTACTGTCAGTGGTCTAGATAATCTACATGAAAAGGTGCATTTTAACAACCTCTGAGGTGAATTAAACACCTAGGATTGGGGGGGACAAGGACAAAATTCCTACTGTGTTTCATATTTATTTAGTGCAGCACTAAGGAGAGGGAAGACATCTACAGGGAGAGAGCAGCTCTAATTACAGAGCTCTCAGCCTTGCTGTTCAGTGGTACAGTTCAGGTACCTATTGCTTGTACAATACTGAACTGCAGTATTTACTGCAGTTAATATTACCCCATAACTTAAACCAACAACAAGTGCTTTTATTTACCCATATAACTTCCCAGATTCAGTTGAGCCTGGCCACTTGGACAGTTAGCTGTATATGTTACAGGAACTTCCTTTAAAATAGCTTTTTGTAATCTAGAGCTACACACTCCCAAATCTTCTGATGGATTTTGTAGCTGTAGGAATGAATTTGACATTCAAAACAAGGACTCCTGCGAAGCACAGATATCTCTGGATTTCACATGCAGGAGGGGGAGAGAGAAGAGCAGGAACTGTGACTGGTTGCACGAGGTTATTGCAGTGGCTTTACATGAAAGTGTTCGTGGTACTAATGCAAGCACAGACTTGTCATCCAAGCCCCTGCTGTATGACTGAGCACAAGAGACTGATGGTTATTTGCTCCCCTTGCAGATCTGGGGGAGCAGGATGACAGAGAATGAAGAGGAAAATGTATTAAGCTTGAAGCATCCCAAGTGACCAACTAAGCACAAGTGCTGCTTAAGTGTCTTCACGTGACCTACTGTCCTGTTAAGATTGAAATTCACATTTCAAATTAAGGTTTAGTGTATTTTATTATAATTCAATGCATTTTCACTAGACTTAAAAAAAAAAAAAAATTGCTATGACCAGTTAATACACTGAAGAGAGCAAGTGCCAGCAACCAAAGGAAAATGAAGGCATTCTTCTGCCAAGGACACAGTTTTTTTCAGCCCAAACATCACTTTATTAATATTGAAAAGTCTCCCTCTTCTCAACTCCATTCTGAAGGCTAAGCCAGGAAACTCATTGTGTCAGGACTGCGCTCCTAGGACAGCATCAGACACTACTGAGAGAGGTAAAAGATGAAATACATAGTTCAAGGGGGGGAAAAAGAGCCTCTACAGTGTAAAGTAGGTCAGAAACGGGGCCAGTGCAGTACTGAGTCCATGCATAATGCTCTCTGGGAAAAAAGAAGAGCTAGATCCTTAGTGTTTTATCATGTTCCAACAAACTCCCCTCCTCTGTCAAGGCAGTAGCTCGAGCACTAGTTTGAAAGTCTAATTGTAACACATAGTTCAGGTAGCTCTAAACAGGCAATGGTAGCTTCATGTCTGGGAAAGGGATTATAGACACTGCTGAATACAGAGTATTTAGAAAAGGTTTCTGCATCATAACAAGTCCACCTATGCAGTGCAGAAATTTTAGGAAATGAACCGTCCAACAGATTATGCAGTAACTGTTTTCCTGTTTGTTTTCCAGAATTCTGAGAGGGGCGGCACTGCCCTCTTGTGGTAATAAAGGAGAACAATTAATAATAAGATTTTTAATGTTTAACTTCCACAATTCATTATAAATACTTACAGACTCAAATTCACATCAGAAAAATTAGGAGAACAATAATTAGACTCATAATAAAACAGCGTTCTTGATCTATGTATACAGGATCTGTAAAGGTTTCTATTTTTTTAACTGGTAACAAAATGATTCTATTTGTAAGGACTCACCATGAACCTGCTTTTCTTTGTTTTGAAAAAGGCACTAAATTCCTAAGCATTTCAAAAGTCATTAGGAAATGAAAAAGAAATGCTGTCACCTGCATATTCAAATATATATATA